AACATTTATTTCAATTTTAGTATTTATGTATAAATTTTTATAATTGTTATAAGTAAACAGCAATGCCTAGCATTTTCAATATTGCATAATTGCTCAAACATTAAATACCATAAGAAATACAAATTCTGTAAGCTTATTTCTGTAAATTTGTTCGTGTATATAAAATATATATACCAGACAAAAAATATCATGTACAACAACGTTTCATATTTCCATGTACGTTTAGGAACACAAATATGTATGTATCTATTTGTTGCACATGAACATTTGTGTTTAAGTATTACTAAGAAGATTCACCCTCCTTTGTACATTCCGCTCAACTATTTTATGAAAAATATTAAAAATTGGCGTATAAAGTAGTAAATCGAGAACCTTTTCATTTAAGTAATAAAACTTTTTACAAAAATGAGATTGAAAGCACTTCCTTAATATTAATGTTCAATCTAGCATTGTGCATTATAAAATGTCACATGAAACAAGTTTAAAGCTGGTAAATTACACTCGTCGAAATATAGGGTATCGCAGTAAATGTGTTAGAACTGAAGAGGGGTGATTCTGTAAGTGTTTCTGAACAACAATTTCCTGTGCCAAAATGCAAAATGAGATAGGGTTTTTGAATTATTAACGAAAAACACTGACCAGTAAGAGTGCGTGTAAGGCCTACGCTAAGCCACGGCCAGACATCACGAGCCAACCTACCCATGGTTCGGCGTGAGCCCTACGCGTGCTCTCATTAGTCAGTATTTTTCGTTAATAATTCAAAAAAGAAAATTGTTGTCCAGAAACACCTCCAGAATCACCCATTTTCGGCTCTAACATTTTTTCTGGGACACCCTGTATATTGACAATGTATACTTCACAATTCATAAAAAATTGAAGACCACCCATTACACATTTTGTCGAAATGCAATAGATATACTAATATCGTGGCCATTGATAATAACATGTATTAACCCTTTGACTACTGTTGGTGCCTATTGGCGTCCGAAACACATTGGCTTTCCGGTACTGTAGGCGCCAATTGGCGTCCAAATCAAATTTCGCTTGTTCCGCCTATTTTAAAATTTTATAATTGGTCTTATGGTAATGTAGAGTAATGTAGAAAGTTATTTAAAAAAAGCTTAAAATTAATGTTCACTTCAAGTAATATTCGTTTAATGTAATAAATTTCAGTATTTTGAATATTTTAATATACTTCCTCAGAAATGCATGTCTAACGAAAAATTTCGCCGTACCCAGTGGACGTCTCGAATGAATTCGTACCGTACCGTACGGCCAGTGCGTGCCAAAGTCTGCCGTAGTCAAAGGGTTAATATATCATGGTAATAGTGTTAATTGCGATATTACTTTATCTCCTGTAACGTCCTAAGTAAGATTTACAGCTAGGGCAGGTGTGGTGAACGTCCATACAATCGTCGATACAGCATGGAATAAGACAACATCCCAGCCAGCATCTATTAACATTATACATAAGACGTAGGAAGTAACAAATTAACACCCATTTAAAAAGTCAGCCTCACCCCATTAAAGCAATCACGACTCCTGATATATATGCAATTATTCCAGGTTCCGTCTTCGTCGTAGTATCTATTTCAGCATGGCATTGGGGACAAATTGTGTGCGTTGATCCTGGCCCAAGAGGAACAATAGTTGTTACAATAGTCGGTCCACTCGTATCTATAACAAAAACGCATTTCTAAATATAACTCTTAATTAACGAAATTGTAAATCATGTAAACCATGATAATCAAAAACATACAGGCTGCAGCAGGCGTGAAAGGACTGGCAGGTAGAACACCCCCCATTGTTTGTACACCACTTGGTGCATATGGTGGTGGTGCATATGGTGGAGGTTCATAAGGTGGTGGTGGTCCAGTCTTGTTCATGATGTATTATTTAGAAATAGACTATCTATAATTAAAGATGATTACATAACTACATAAGAGCAAGCACTAACAGTGAAATTACTAATGCATGCATACTATCATATCCAATTACATAGAACCAAAAGTATTTGGATCCACTTTAATAAACAAGAGGGAATTCAATGTAATGTATGGCAACTTGCTTCACTGGTATATATGTAAATTGTTTGAAAATCACAAAAAGTAATGCTATATAACTAAATATTATAAGCACTAATCCGAATTACCTTGTCAAATTATTACCAATCCAATTTTTAATATGTACAACAAAAATTTAACGACTGTGTGTTACATCAGAAATAGTACTTGTTCATTGAAAGTTGTTATAATTGATGAATCATTAATATTCATGAACGGATTGCGAAATTTGTCGCTAATGACATCCCAGGTCACTTGTATTGAAATAACGAATTGCCAATGTTTTATTAATGTTCTCTTAAGCGCATGGTACGCGAGAACTTTACACCTACCTCAATGAAGTAACAAAATTTATTCGCTAATTATTTAATCGATGTATAATTAATATTTAAAATCTGAATATGCATTCGATGTGCATAGTTTCAGTGAACACTTCAAAATGTAAACACTCAAATGCACCCGAAAAAACAGCGGACTGTACCAGTGGCAGCAGTGTAAGTCGAGAATCAATCAGTCGGGAATGTTGTGTCGAGGTCGGAATATGCCAGGATATTCGACATGGACCAGACCCAGACCCATGGAATTGACCGTGGATCGGGGACGAGAATCGTTTTGGGTACCTCATGGGTACCTACCTGTATATATATGTATGTATACTCATCATGGAAAGGAACGGACACCGACTCAACTACACCAGAATGCGTAGAACGCTTGCAATGTGGACGAGACTTGACTTGAGAAATCAATGACCGGTATATTTAAGATCTTCTTAAGTTATCCCTGTCTATCCCATATTTCCAGTCCCTGTCTTGTACAGGTAACAGGGACTTAAGCGAATGATTAAAGCGACCTTAAATATAAGTAACGACTCTGAATTCTGAATATCGGCCTGTATAGGAAAACGAAAAGAAATTTATACTTCGTTTATGATACTATTTTATCGGTAATGTAACGGTGATTTGTCGGTAACGTGTACAAGATTATTATATGGCCGGTTTAGCACCGTCAAGTGTTTTGCTATCTGTTTCTTACTCCGCTGGCCACATATTCTAGAGGGCGTCAAAAATTGCCGATTTTTTCGTGGGACACCAAGTCCCATAAGGCTGCCACTCTTTATAAGTATTTCCCCTCAGCGTAGGGAACAGATGTTAAGTGATTCTGTGTATCGTTCCTTTTAATTTATCTGCTTCGGATAGACTGTATTGAATTGTCGGACGACTGTCCGAGAACGTGAACTACTGAATTCCAATTTTATTATGCAGTAAATAATTTTTTATGCACATACGTTAGGACTCGGTCCTGCGATATAGTGTTGTCTACTATTTCTTAATCTTTTTTAATTCTTTTATTTTTATAAAAATGAAGATATCGATCAGGTAACAACTTGATTATCATTATTTAAGTGCTGATAATCATAGTTTTATAAATCCTCTAGAAACGTCTTTTAATAAAACCGAAACATGGTGTTGAATCGAAATGATAAAAGAAAACGAAAAGAAGGAGATTTGGTGGATCTTATGGAGCCACTCTCAGAATCTCCTAAGAGGTAAATAAACTTATTTACATAATTAATAGTTATTTACTATTGAAATTTGAGTACTTAACTATATGAGTACATAATATTTATGAACAGATCATTCTTTTTATTAATATATATTTTTTATTCATCTATTACTTATTATAGGACTAAAGTGCATGCACAAAGAAAGTTTGCACAGGGTGCATCAACAGTTTTTAATTCCTCGCATACTCCTATTAAAGATAAAGAGAAGTCTAAGCCTGCAGTTATAACAGAACTAATAACTCACAAGCGACCAAACACAGAAGACTTCCTCACATTTTTATGCTTCAGAGGTAGTCAAATTCTTATTTCGTCTTTAATTATGTTTTAGAATCACAATAATTGATGCAATTTTTTATTTAGGTACATCAATTTTACCTCCAAGCTTAAATTTTTTCAATGTTGGAAATAAGAAAGAAAAAGAAGATCCCAAGCCACTATTGACGTCAACAGATAAGATTGCATCTTCAACTAGTACGTCTGCTGAATGTCAGAAATCAGATTCAAGTCAAAAGAATGTTACCAAAACAAAGCCTGTCGTTGCTGAGAAAAAGAAAGCTCCGAACGAAATACAAAATAATATTACTACATTTAAGTGTACATCATCTACCGTACAGGCGCTTAAAAAGAAGTATCAAGAGCAACGGCTCGCTAAGCAGAGGATCAGAGATAAATTTAAGAGAGTTATGAGGACGAGGTCTTGCACAGAGAGAACATTATTGAAGTCTGCGAATAAGTTGGCACCGAAAAAATTCTTGCCAAGGGTCGAGACTAAGAGGCTTGGCTTACGCAGTAGCGTGCTTTCGGATAAAAGAAAGAAAGTTTCTCCAAACGTGAAATCTGTTCTGAAACCAAAGAAGAAGATTGTAGTGAAACAAAAAGCTAGCGACACATCAAACACAGATTCCACTTCCGAGGAAGAGGAAGAAGTTCCGTCAGAGAAATCACAATCGAAACGTACTGTTCAAAAGGCCGGTCAAAAGAACATGTGCACGAGAAGTAAACCAGAAACGAGAAGAATCACGCGTTCTCATAGCGGCACGGTTTCGCCTAAAAATATTTGCAGAAGACCAACAAGAAAGACAAAAGAAGCAGCTGCGGTGTACATGGAAATTCTCGGACGAAAACTTGTTAGTCCTGATTTGGAAAATGATGACAATGTGTCAGTGGATAGTTTTCCAGAATTGCCAAATACGCGTAAAGCTAGTCAAGCGGAAAACGAAACTAAAACTAAAGTAAAACAATCTGTAACAAAAGCAGCTAATAAAAATAAAGAGAGTAAAGTTACTTCTGCGAATAATACATCGAACAAACGTTTGGACAAGACTAAGACTAGTAAAGTGGCTTTTAAGGGTAAAAGATTAATGAGGGTTTTGAAGTATTGCGAAATTGACAGCGACGAAGAATCTGTTAGTTCGAATGAAACTAGTAACGCGAGACCTGTTACAAGACGAAGTTTAGGAAAATTAAATAAACCTGCGAATCGTGCTCTTAGATCCTCTACTAAAAATCTCGTCGGACGAATGGAGATACAGAATACTGTGAAATCAAAAACGCAGCTTCAAAATAATCTGAGATTCAATAAAGAAAAATTCGTAATGAAACGTAAACGAGAACAGAGTTTAAACAAACCAATATCTGAGAAAACTAACGAAGTAAAACAAAAGGAGACAAAAGCTGTCGTGAACGAGAGTACGGATTCTGATGAAGAGACACTGGGAATGTTACTCAACAAATTGAAAAGGAAAAAGGATGACAGTGAACAAAAGGAAAGTACTAGTAAAAATAATGATAATGACGTTGGAGAAAAAGTTGAACAACCTTCAGACGGAGCTGTTGTGAAGACGGACGTTCCAAAAATATCTGACGATGAGGAATCTTTTCGGGGATTCTCGAAGAAGGCTATATCCAAAGTACTGAATTCTTGTCAGACGCATGTCAATGCTAATCTCCTTACCGCGAAGAATACCGGAAATAAATCGGAGCCTAAAGTAAAAGATGAACAAGATTCTAATGCGACCAATAAACAGGAAGATAAAGGATTGTCGACTAACGAACCTTCGGTGAATACAGATCTTGCTACGACTGTGAGCATGTCAGATGATCAATCAACCCAGAAAAAAGAAATTAAATCAAAATTACCGGATAAAGTGGAACATCTCACAGAGATACAGAATACTGACAAGAAATGTCCTTACAAAACGGAAACTCCTTCTGCAAATATTCTCGATATGTCGTTGGCAGCGTTGCATGTGAGGAAAGAAAAAGTAAACATGTCCACTGAACAAATTGAAAAGTGGTTGAACGAAAGTTCGCTCGCTAAAGAGGAAAGCAAGTTAGAAATGGAGAACGTGTCTACATTTAAATATGAGGTTTGCGAGAAGAAGGCTGACGTTTCACATTTGTCGATTTCAACGAAAATTCAGCACTTGGTGAGACCAGTCAATGTTACGCTTTGTAAGTTGGCAGAAAAATCTAATTTGAAAGATCGTACAATTACGCTTAATAAACATCTGCCATTAGCAGAACTGCTATCTGATATGAAACAGCAAAATGAGTTCGCTAGTAAAATAGATTTGAAAGATATTAATAAAGGACGAAATATAAAATCAAGTAAAGATTCGTGTTCTGGTGAAGAATGCGACGGATTAAAAATTGTACAAAACTTGGTGGATGGCTCTGGCGAGAAGAAACTGACAGAGAAAAAGATATTTCAACCAAGGAAACCATTTTTACCAAAAGTTAAAGAACGTAAAACGGCGATTCCGAACGCGAATGCATTTTCTCCAGAAAACGAAAGTAGCGTTTATGCATTTGAGAGTGACACAGAAGATCCTGTTAACACTCCTTTTAGACGTAAGGCTCGTGAATCTAATAAATCAAATATACCTCTTAACTCACCTGAGATTGTCGCAGTTAAAAATGAAAATAATACAAATAAGTCTGAGACTAATACAAATAAATTGGACAATAATATAATTAAATTTGAGAACATTTCAAGTATTGAGAAATCTGAGATTGAAATGAATAAACCTTTGAAGAAGGAAGTGAACGATAATTCCGAAATGGCAACGACTAGTGACCATCCTAGTATTTCTTTGAACAATGACGACCAAGTAGTAGAAGTAAAGAATACATCGACCGCAGCATTGAACGTGAACAAATTTGAGTTGCCAAAAAACTTTGCTACGTTAGCTAATATACAAGTTTTACCGTTGGATAAGTTAACGACAAATTGGAGCAATGTGAGCTGTAGCACTTCCATAGCCGTACAAGTAAATCTTGATAACAGTGTACAGACACAAGAGCAAACGAGAGAGGGAGACGCGAATCAACAGAGGAGTACAGAAATATCTACTCAGACTGATAGCAATAATGAAAACGACGATGAAAACGATGGTCAACTATTTTATATACCTTTGCAAGCGGTTACAAGGAATGGTCCAAATTTAATTCAAGGGCAACAATTAATTCAAGGTGTAGCTGTAAAGCTTGGTACCGAGGGACCAACCGGACCTAATCAAAAAGTCCTTCTAAGAGCGAAACTAGTTACGAAACCTCCGTCGTCAGTTGTTCGCTGCCCTCCTGTGGGCACAGTGCAGCCTACGACACGTACTCCACCAAATTCCACCTTTGTAGCACCCGATCATTCAATGCCATCAACTTCATCAAACACAGCACCGATCATTCCTAAATCCGATTCTGAACCTAAGCTATCTTCTCCAAAAAAAAGTGAAAGCACCATACAGATGATGACCAGACAAAATGTCGCAACTGCATCAAATGCAACGCAAGAAAAGTATCTAAGATCTCCAAAAACTTCTAGAGAAAGAAAGACTTCCATTGATTCAAATAAGAATGGGAAACGGTAAGAAGAACTTAAAAATCCTTGTCAATCGTCTCACTGCATAATTTAAATGTTGTAGATGTCAGGTGAAAGCAAAGCAGAAAGTATCCGAGATTTGTTCTCCAACTAATAATGTACAATTTCCGAATGCAAAAGATGAAAATAAAGAGGCGCATTTAGTCCAGGCGCCAACTTTTCATCCTAGTGAGAAAGATTTTCAGGATCCTTTGGAATATATTGATAAAATCAGACCGATCGCAGAAAAATTTGGTATATGCAGAGTTATACCACCACCGAATTTCAAGGTAGAATCCGTATTCAAATGCACGTTTTCTTATAGATAAAATTGTAGCACATTTTAATGTGATTTTCTTTTGTTTTCAGCCGGAATGTAAAGTGACGGATGATATGCGTTTTACCGCTTATAATCAGTACGTACATCGCATGCTTCATAGGTGGGGTCCTAACGTGAAAGAAATGATGGCTATAAAAAAATATTTAGCTACTCAAAGTATAACATTAACTCATCCACCATGGGTAAACATTTCTTTCGTCGTCTCTTGAATCTCGTTTTTAGTGTATTCGTCAGAATTCAATGTTGCTTTTTTACAGATTGGTGGTATGGAGGTAGATTTACCTCACCTGTATCAAACAGTTCAAAGCTTAGGCGGGTTAAAGGAAGTAATTGAAAAGAAGAAATGGCAAAAGGTAGCCGATGGCATGAAGATACCAAAATCTGCCCAAGATCGTGTAACAAAATTGGATGATATTTATTGCAAATACTTGTTACCATACGATACACTGTCTCCAGGTACTTATTCGCAAATATTAAAGCCATATTAGTATAAAAGCAATATATATTTCTTAAAAACAATTTACATAAAAAAATTATATTCAGAGGAACGAGGCAAATTATTCAATGAAGTTGAGTCTGAATGGATGCAAAAAGAAAGTAGAGTTTTGCAGAGGCAAAACGCGTCAGTAAGTGAAAATGAAGACGACGAAGATGAGGACAGTTCCGATGAAATCGAAGAATGCATTGTAAAAGTAAGAAATATCACTGTCGCAATTTTGCGTATTTCTTTCTTAACTGTATTATTCTACAGGGTAGAAACATGCCCCTGAATGCTTTTTATCGCATCGCGCGGAACACTCAACGTATGTGGTTCGGTGAGAATCAGAAGACTGAAAACGAAGCCGAAGGTGCCTCCGCCGACGAGGTTGAAAGCGCATTCTGGAAGCACGTCGCGGAAAGAAGACGACATGTTTGTGTACACGCCGCGAGCATTGATTCAAGTGGACGTGGCTTCGGATTCTCAGTTGCTAAGAACAGTCCGTTTGCCAGACATCCGTGGAATCTCAAAGTACTTACCAATAATGCTGGATCTGTCTTGAGAGCTTTGGGTCCCATAATGGGTACGGAAATATGCACGTTTTCAAACTTATATTAAAATTGTAACTTTTTTGTGATGAAATAATTTTATTCATAGGCGTGACGGTACCTACACTCCACGTGGGTATGTTGTTCAGCGCGTGCTGTTGGTATCGCGATCCTCATGGCCTTCCTTGGATAGAATATTTACACACTGGTGCTAAAAAGATCTGGTATGGAATACCGGACGAACACAACAATAATTTTAGAGAGGCTCTATCAAAGATGGTTCCACGTTACTGTAAGAATAAGACTATATGGCTGCCATCGGACACGGCAATGGTACCTCCCGAGTTATTAGTTAGGAACGGGGTATCATTGTGCCAGACTGTCCAAGAACCAGGACAATTTATAATTGTATTTCCTAAAGCATTTACGTCAAGCATATGTACTGGTTACGTAGTGTCTGAAAGCGTTTACTTCGCGCAATCATCCTGGCTAGAAACAGCTGAACAAGTATTTAGAGTAAGTAGAATAACGTTTTCTGACTTTTTATTATATATTTTGTGAACAGTACAATGGAACTATCATTTTAGGATATACAAGACAGTTGCGAACCATCGATCTTCTCTTTTGAGAGATTATTGTTTAACATTATTAATGATTCTAGATCTCATATAGATGTATTAAAACAGGTCAGTATTAGAATTAATCATCATATTACGTACGAAAAACTATAGATAAACCAAGATTAATAAATAATTGATACATCTAGATTATGCCAAGTGTAATTAGAATTCGTGACAAAGAAATAAGTTGCCGTGAGCAGTTAAAACTCGTGGGTCTTATGAACAGAGAGAGATTACCTCTGCCAGATAGCGGAAAACGAAAGAAGGGGCAAAGAGTAAACGAAGACGACGGAGACTTTGAATGTGAAACTTGCAGAGCTAATCTGTTTGTTTCGTTAGTTAGCAATTCACAGGATGATAGCGTTTACTGTTTGTCGCATGCATTGCAATTACTTAACAAGAAGAAACAGCTGTTGAAGCATTGCACCTTGATGTATACGTACAGCGAGGTAAATATACGCTTTTCAAATTCTGACGAGTGCGAATGTACGCAATCTATTAATTAAACATAATTTTTTTGTTATGAACAGGAGGAATTAGATGATTTGATCCATAAACTAGAAGACAGAATCGAAGCCAAATCTAAAAAGACTAATCAAATTAAACAAACAAAGTAATGAATCGACAGAGCTATTTATTAATTCACGTAGATAATTAATTATTTATTAGTCTATTACAAAATAATTATGAGATTTTGTTACATAGATACATATATATACATATACATATATATATCATATTTATTCTTATCATGGTAATACATTTGTATATAAAAAAAATGAATGCTTTACATCATTTCGAGGTGCAGGAATTCAAGTGATTAGCATTAAATTAAATAGCACATCACGTATTTCCAATCATTAATTTTCAAACCGAGAAACATATTACACTATTTATACATTGTTTTCATATATGACAATTATGAATATTATCTTGCATTTTATTCTCACACATAATGATAAAATATAAGATGTGTTACTATATACTTAGACTACGTTTAAATATAATTTATAGAATTCTAGGAATTAAATATTATCAAATATTTCTTATAATAACTAAATTCCGTAACATTTGTTATTTAAGTGTTAAGTAAATAATATAATAATAGCGTACTTAGGTATGCAAAATTTATTATGAATACTTTAAAATTATAAAATGAAAGATTACGATGTTCTCAATATGAGAAGATCTATACGTTAAATAAGTTTCTTCGACAAGTGCATTTATATTGTTACACAAATCAATATGTGTATCATAAGATCAAATAAACATCAAGTAATACAAAACATTGTTTAGTAGAATTCAAAATTATTTTTTACGATCTCTTAAAATCACGTACCACGTGACGAAATAGCTCGTGAATATAAATACAAAATGACATGTATATTTATACATTTCACAAAAAAAGATAGCTAACAGAAAAGTTATCACAAAAAAGTTTGGTGAAAGAATTGTTACTAATTAGATATACTTTCTCATCGTAATTAATAACAATCTATAACACACATATTTATATACTTAATGTTAATTTTAATATCCATTATTATGCTGCGTTTTCGGAAGTCTTAATTATATATACACTGATATACACGATCGGAAAAAAATTTGAAAAGTACTATCGGTAACATTGTTATATTATGCTAGCCTCTGATAAGGAACTAATAACACAGACTGCAAGTAAGAAATACTAATTACAGGATAAATTTCTTTACATTAAATATACGTATTATACTTTACTTTGCTAACTTTCTCTTTACTGTTCATATATTTAACATTTTTAAATAAATATTGAAATAGAAGTTTGCCTACTTCATGACATGACATAGAAAAAGTAATTTGAAAATCATTTTATAGTTAAAATTCATAGAAACCATCGACAAAGTCTTTACGTAAAAAAGCATTGGTAAATGTAAAAATATATATCAAATGCGGTAAACAGCATATATAAGTGGACATGGAATGACTCCTTCTCTCTTTTGTAATAAATAAACTTCATCTCAATGCACACATTGAATATCGAATACTTAGACTTCTACTGCTCCCTACGTTGCAATATGTTAGACAGTACTTGAGTAGAATTCTCATCGTGTTTGATTATGTCGTCTTCCTCCGAACTGAATTCCGCGTTTAAAAGATTTGTTAGCGACGTCGATTTCTGCGTTAACAAAGGAAAATTCGTATCGATCCCGTCATCGTGTTTTAGACTATTACTCGATAGAGAATTTACTTGCATTTCCAAAGTCTCAACTTTTTTATTTCTACTCGAGAGTACTTTCTTAACGGTATGAATTATAATTCCACAAAGGCACATTAACAACCCTAGAAAATTGATACCACTCATTTGATCACCCTTCCATTCAACAGCCAAGATTAAAATACATATTTCCTACAAAGAGACAAATAAAAATTCATTAGTTGATGCGATACAGCGTTTTCGAAAGTAAAGCATATTTCAATTTACCTTAATTATGCCGATAATAGAAAGTGTAAGACTAGACGTGTATGTAATAACTAAAAATTCCATAACTTCCATATGGAAAGCTATAATAGCACTTCCAAGTACAGCAGTTACAGTCATCGAAATAGACTGAATATCATTCCAATCTATTGTTATAAAATCACGGTACACCTGAGGTCCTAAGGCATATAGTTCACTTATAATTTAAAAATAAAATGTCATAAAATAATTAGAATCTGTTCTGTTACCTTCAAACCATAGCATCACAGGTGTGATAGGTACTAACATCCACAATTGCATATAGTACATCATATCAATTGGGCTTTTCATTCCAAATTTAGATTTCTGCATTATTAATTGTGACATTGTCCATCGAATACCGCTTGAAAATGATGCTAGGAGGCAGATGACAAATCCAAAAATTTCAAATTGCGTTGATTTATAGGTAAACATGAATAAGCCTACTGATATCATTACTACAATACATGTTAATGACCAAGACTGTAATAAAATAATTTAGTTATGAGTATGTGTCATATTTTAAGCATGTATTGGCTATACAGTCAATCCCAAAAGTTATGTACCTTAGAAAAACGCATTTCCTATAATTAAAAAGAAATCAGACGTCGGAAGAATAATGCTAATAATAAATAGCTA